TACAATCTTTAATATTCTCGACATTATTCTTAGGTTCTTGGATATTAACATTACGAAAATAGCAGCACTTAAGAAAGGCTAAAAATAATAATAGATTAATCTCTTTCAGTTAAAATAAATGAATTTGAACTATGAAGCTCTTTTTAAAATCAAAAATTTTTTATAAAATTACATTATTTGAAAATATTGCATACTTGATCTATTAATAGATCATATTTATGTTTTATGATAATTTTATGATAGTTTTTTCACTTATATAATTATGCACATAATTAGCTGCAAGTAATATGCGACAATATGAATCTTATTTGAATAATAAATTTCTCTTAAAATATTGATAGATTAATAAATAGGATTTCTTATAAATATGTTTATACATATAAAAATATGTTTTCATATTTTTCTTATTAACTCTTGTTCTTTATTCTTTTTTTATTTAGAGTTATTTATATAATTACTCATACTTTTACGATTCATATTGCATAACATGTTTATCAATACATACTGCTGTGCAAATAATTGTTTAACGACGCAAAATGTACAAATTGCTAAATACATGAAAAAAATAAATATTTAAGCTTATTGTACAGTCTTGGCCAAAAATATTAGGCACTTTAATCATTTATGGAATTTGTTGTAAATTATCTTTTGTTCGAGAATTCTTTAAATTTATGTATAATGCCGTTAATCAATGCAGGTAAAAGAATTCCAAATAAATGAAAAAATATAAGTGCCTAATATTTTCGGCTAAGACTGTATATCGCGAAGCATTCATAAAGTTCATAATATTAATAATTTTATGAATTATAAAATATTGCTTTGTTCAATTTGTTATCTAATTCTTTGTTATAAATGCACGATGCAAAAATAAGCACGGTATTAAATATCGAGCGCGTTATAATGTAATTGCTAAGTATTTTAATTAATTTAATTATGGAAGGTAATTACATATCGTTATGAATTTATTTTCGCTGCAGGCTGTATCCATAAATAACGCATTTTCAGAAAGAGTTGATATTTCGGGTTTCTGTGTATATTTTATTTACATAAAATGTTCGACATACAAAATATAATTGCAGGCTTAATATAATCAGCGATTGGAAAAATTTTATATATAAATTCCGCGCAATAATATCGCGTGTACGTGATGGGCACATGCAGCGTATAAAATATTCCGACATTTTTTTATTTTAAAAACGTGATATTAATTTACATATCATAAATGCTAATCCCTTTAACATATATTTTGTAATATATTCTCATTCTTAAATGATGATTATTATGTTTATGGAATTTGAAAATACTTAACAAAAAATACTTTGTATACCGACGTAAAAATAGTCATATATTTTATCGATACAGCTTATGCTTTTGAGGCATCCACTGGTATCTTCTATACAGAAGCTATATGTTTCGCAGGTTATCTCCTGTCCAGATTCATTATTAGAATGGCATTCTAATAATGGATCTGGACTGACAATAACCCGTGAAACACGTAACTTTTGTACATGATATTGATATAACTTATGTCACAATTTCATTTTACTCTTTTCCTTGATGCATTGCGAATAATCATAGCTATACGCCAACTGATAGTAGCTATATTAAATGATAAATGTTTGCTACAGAATATTTATATATCTAAGATTTAACGTAAAATCAAAACGATCAATTTTTTTTGCCATGCAATCTTTATTACAACATACATAAGAAAAAAACTGAATTTATTACACGCGCAATTAAAATCTTATACGTGTGGACATTAAACGCGCGATGAAATAGCCAGTTTGCGGCTTTTGCTACTGGTTAACGATCGTTTCTTTCGATTTCGATTTTCGCGTTAATGATGGAGGTCACCGGTTGTGAGAGAATTGCGACGATGCGGCATGAACGGTTCGGTACGTGGTCGATTGGGGTGGTCCAAACGGGGCCAAAGGTAGATCGGAACACACTCGCACGGTCGGTCCATCCATTCGTTCATTTGTTCGTTCGATCGTCGTTCGCGCAAACATACGTACGTACGTACACGTATATTCGGGGCGATATCTCGGACGAGGCAAAATATTTACGAGAAAATTTCGCCGTGGGTGGCGCGGCTTCATGAATAATTTCGGTCCGCAGGAGACTCGTCAGCCGCGGGCTATGTGCTCGGGGCGCACGGTTCTAATTACGGCAACTGCAGAGCGCGCGTCTGCGCCCCCGGCCATCCCTCCAGCCGGTTTCCAACCTCCCTTTTCCTATCCCAGCACAATTTCCACAGAGCCCACATCCGTTCTGAAATGCCAGCAATCCTCCTCCCCCTGCGGCCCCTTGCCTCTCTCTCTCTCTCTTTCTCTCTCTCGTTTTATGGTTCTCTCTTCATCCATCGCGTTACGCGTACTCCTTCCCTCATCCCTTCCCTCTCTTTTATAGCTCGAGGTGCACATCGACTATTACGTTGCAACCAATTTTTGAAAAGTTGCTGCAATATATATGTATATATACATATATATATATATGTGTGTATATATATATATCTAATATTATTTTTTCTGCGCCTATACATTCGCGCGCTTATGGAGAAGCAAACAAAGTTTGCCATGTTAGAACGGTCGAATTCGTGATTTACGCGATGTATAGAATTGGTGAACATTTATTAATGCTACATATGAATTTTATAGAATTTCGATTAAAATTTTTTTTGTTACTACTGGAAGTTATAATTATACGTAATTAAATTATGGTTATATGTAATTAAATTGTGTTATATGTAATCATGTTTTTATAATTACCGTTTGTATTATGCTGATTTAATGTGTGAAATTGCTTACCTTAATCTTACAATTACTTGAGTTCATTAAATGGTACTAGATTCCATCATGAACTAAATATTAAATATAACTGTACATTGTAATGCGCGATAGTCGCGTCGAGATACTTAAAGGTGAAGGATGAAATCCAGAAGAAGCGTATAGAATCAAAAATTGCATCACGTTCTCCATGTCAACTATTTAATTATAAAACTACAAATTCATTTTAATTTGTTTTCAATTAATTACACGATCGATTATATCGTGTTAAAATCAAATTTTTTAATTTTATTATCATATTTGTACTCTGGCTTTTTTCTGCACGTCTCGCGCGTAATTATGTAGTCAATTATTTTAAGTATTTAACTTTTAATTGATATTTTTCCTCGGATTTCGCACTCATTATGTCAAGACGAGAAGCGTACTGATTCGTCAGTTACGAGTTTTACAACTTGCAGCTCAGTCTCGCACAAACGCACTAAAGAATTAAATGTAATTTAGATTACAGACATAATTTATGAACACGTAATTATAAAAAAATTTAAATTTTACAATATAAGCTTTAAAATCTAAAAAATGGTAGAGCTCCATTAAAGAATTTTTACATAATTTTTTTTTACCATTTAAATGAAGTCTTTTTGTGTGCTCATCTACATTAATTTTGCCATTGTGAAGTCACAATTTCTATCTTTGGTTATAACAGGTAATTTGTTTTGATATAGAATGATGTAGCGATTTTTATATAACCATCTTTATCCAAAGCCTCTTTGCATCGCATATGATTATTCGCGACGTGAAGTGTATAATTGATTGTAACTATTGTTTGATGATGGCGGAATGCGATGAGTGATTGAACAATTGCATTGTCCCGTCGTGTTTCTACATATTCGTTTCTGGAGGCAGCGACACCCTCTCAAACGTCTGGCACAGATTAAACTTTCTTTACCCGCGGTGTCGTGAGATCAGATTGACTTTCTATTGATTTCATTGTAGCTCAATCATATAAAATGCTCTACGGACGCGTGCAATTATTTAGTATCCAGAGATTTATAGTGTTCTTTCCGAAGAGAAATTTACTATCGTAATGAACAATTAAAAGCTGACACAAGGATGTTTAAAAGATTAAGGTTCTTAAGCTTAGTTTCCAGAAGGAGGTCTTGGAGGGAAATATCTAAGGAGCATGAAAAATATGTACAACTCACAACGTACAACTTCAAAACATTGATGAATACAGAATAGATTAGATTAAACGAATAGCAGAGTGACTTATATATCTCTGTGTGCAAAATTATTATGCAAGATCGCTTGATTCCCAATTCGAAATGTCTGTCTGTTTCTATTACTAAAATCATCTGTACTTTCGTTAGATAGTACTTCCCGTACCGGAACGCTCTTGGCCGCGCCTCGCGGGTTACAAGCGACATAATTAACTATGTGAAAGTACACTATTTCCATACATGAATATCAGTTTGTCACGCGACGTTTCGAAGGTATCCTGTACGAGAGAGAACAAGCGAGAGAAATAGATTTTTCTAGACACTTTCCGTATCGGCAATATTATGATAACATGCAGTTTCTTTACCCGGAAGACTACGATCAGTAAAACAACAGCGAAAGGTACAAATAGTGTATCGTAAAAATTTTGAAGTGTAAATTAGTCTTGTAATAAGTGAATGTTCTCTTGGAGCGAGACTTCGCGTAATAACGCAAATACTCAAATAATTGAGATAAATCTTTCTATAAATTCACATGGCGATAATTATGTATATTCCTGGAGTATACTTGACGACATAAAGAGCAAAACGATTCGAGTTATGTCCTTGTCAATATCTCACGATAATAATCCCCGAGGTTTAATTATCACATCTAAGGTTTATATCAGAAAGCAATCATAACTCCGGCCGATGCAATCATCGGCATTTTAATCACGTTATTACGTTAACCGCGCGATCAATCTGTTCTTCAATATTTCCTCATACGCAACGTACGTATTGTAGATTTATATCGATGATTTATTATGGTTGATAGTTATTCAAAACATTTTATAGTTTAACAATTCGAAAATAGATCTCATCTAATGAATTTTCACAAGATTTATCCGATGCAGGCTTGTTTATGTCATTCATATAGAGAAACATGATGTAACTCGTCGTATTCTGCATACGTTTCAATATATTTCCCGATGGAATCGAATAATTATAAATCACTCACCGTTTCTGGCACGTGGACTCCAGGTTGACGGTTATTCTCGTGTCCACGGCTGCGAATTTGAGAACCCTGGAGTCCCGTCGCGCTCGCGAAAACTTGTCACTGTCTACGAAGCACCCGGTCGGAATTCTCGTGAATATCTCCAGCTCTCGTGTCACGCACTGGACCACGTGGTTGCATTCACGTGTCTTCTCGGCCGAGGGACAAAAGTGGCGCGAGCCACCACCGCGCACCACCGCGGCTTTCGTTAGACTGCGTACACTCTCCGCTGTCACGATCCTCGCTCTGATTTCCTCGCGCTACCACCACCACCATTCTCCACTACCACCACTATTACCGGCACAGACATCGTCCGCTGGTCCACCACCAGCGACCATCGTCATCCATCGTCGTCCTCGTCCTTTCCGCCAACCCACATCGACTCGTCTTTGTCCCTCGAGCTCGCGGCGTTTCGGCAAACGCCTCGAGCTTGTGACGATTCTCTCTATTCGTACCGCACTGACGTACGCCGGTTTCAACCCCTTCCGATCGTGTATTTTGGCCGTTTGTGTAAGATATAGCGATTGTATCTGATACGCTTTCTATACATAGATCATTTCTGTACGTGTTTCCTCTTATTGTAAAAAAAATTTACTAAATTCTATTGAATACTTGTTTGAACAGTACACACTAACGAAATATTTACTTACAGTAAATAAACATTTATACTAAAATTAAATAAATAATACTTAAATTAAAAAAATAAAATTATACTTATAATTAAATAAATATATATATCATTTACATTTAGTAAATATTTCGTTAATACTATTTATTTAAATATTTAATAAAATTTAGTAATTTTTTTTCAGTGTACGGATAGAAATTTTATCGATATTTCATATTGATTTTTAAATTTATTTATATGATCTATTTATTTATATAAATTTATTTACATAATCATGCTCTATTACATGATCCCTATATAGGATAAATTGTTAGATACACATAATATTATGCAAGATGGATCCGCAAGATCGATTTTCAAAATGAAATGTCGGATATAACTTAAATATTAATTTCTTATTATATTTATTTTATATAATATATATTTTATATATTATGATATTGGTTTTTTGTTATATATAACAATAGGAAGTGAAACGCCATTTGAATATATTTAAGTAATGACTGCGTTCAACAAATAAAACAACTCAGTGAGCGCTTAGTAATTATTTTAGAGAGAGAGAGAGACAGTTTCTATACTTATTATTAAATTTAACGAGTTAAAGGAAGAAAACAGATTAAGAAAAAAGAATTATTGAGCGCATGTTGAGCTGTTTTATCTGTTGAGTATAGTTATTATTCAAATATACAGATATATTTGAATGACATTTGATATCATATTGTTATATAACAATTAAGAAATTAATATTTAAATTAAGGCAAGGATTTAGAAGATAATAAAAATATAATAATGGAAAAACATAAATTTAGAGATTAAAATTAAGAGCATAATATAGTAGAGAGCGCCTTTATAATCGATCAAAGTTGGAAGTTTCAAATAATATAATATTCTTGGTTCATGCATTTAATTAATCTCAAATGTGGTTGTGATTTTTCTAAAATTAAGAGATTAAAATTTTGATAAATGTCCATGTTTGAAGAAGTGTGTCTTAAAAAAATAATGACCTGCTTACAAGTATTGGATCTTTTAGCTATTATAAAACCATTGATCTATTATAAAACCATTGATATTTACATTTACGATTACATAAGGACTAGAACAAGAATAGATATATTTGATTAACCTTTTGACCACACACTATGATCTTTGCAAATGACATCCATTCACGTCGACTGTTAAAATAATATTTCCGCTCACATTGACCGTTAAAGTAATAAATTTTTCTTTGAATGATCAAAATTATTTTCGCCTTAAGAGCGATGGTATAGTTCGGTCTATTGAAAAAAATGTAATGTAAAGATAATATCTATATTAATTTATGAATAGAAATAATCGCGTTTGATAAATTTAACAGAAAAGTTTTGAAAAATTTATTTCTCTATACTACAATAAAAGTATATTACAATGAAATTTAGTACGAAATGCTCCGAAAATACCTTCGCAGAGTGACGGCATATTACTTACAAAAATGATTTCCAACACTATTAAACACTATTAAATCGTGGTAATATCTTTATATTAAGTAAATATCTAAAGAGGGTCTAATTCAAAGACCGAAACATGTAATATTTTGTTTTTTAATATATCATTTAATTTATTATTGACTCTTATATACTCTATTATTATATTTATTTCGTATTATTATCAAGAGTTCTTTATTATTATTGTTAATGATTTCCAACGTTATTTATAAGAATCGTTTTTAGGAAGTAATTCGGTGCATCTGTGCGTCGACATTATTGTCGAATAACTGAAACATTTTCGACGTTGGCCAGGGATTTCGTCTTCGTAAAACTACAATCGGTACCTCGTTCATACGATTGGCCATCGGCCATCGAGAATAATGGAGCAGTTGGTGAGAGCCGATATAAGGGGAACCAAACGCGGCTCGGGCCTCGGTCTCTGTCGTATTCGAAGTGCCCCGCGGCCAAAACGGCCACGGCCGACAACATCGTTCCAGAATGCCCCGGGCACTTCCAAACCCACCGGACGATGTTGCTCGCATACATAAACGCCAACTTCGTCAGGGACAAAGTGACGCTCGTATATATGTTGATCCGGCCAACGCGGGTCGCGACGGGAGAAGAGCGACTTTGCCATTTCGAGACTCATTTTAACGTCCGTCTGGGTCGCGTTCGCGGCTGGTTCCTGTCGTTGACCTTAGGCATATGCCTGCTGGCCAATTACAGAATATTCTAAATCTTTTTGAACAATAATCCCTCGCTTTTGGAAAACGCATGGCACAAACACGTATCCAAATATTTTTTCTTCCTTTTGCACAATACAATTTCATGTTCGTGTATATGTATTGAACTATTGTACATTGTATCGCATATAAAAGACAGAAGATTTATTAAACTGAATTAAATTTTAATAACTATTTTTTAATGAATTTTAAAATTAAATTTTCTTTGAGTGAAAATGTCAAAGTAAAAATATCAAGTTTTCTCTAACAAAAAATGAAAATGTTAAATAAAAATTTATTCATCTTCAGTAACAGTTCAATAAACAGTAATGGAAATGATTTTAAGCAAAATTTTTAATTAAATATTATGCAGTAATAAATGTTTTTTTTTATTTAATGATTTTACTAAATATTTGACACTGGAAAAAGAATATATACAACTGACACACCAGCAAGATCTTTATATTATGATTGATAACATTACGTTTCACGCCTGAATTTGAGAAGACAGATGCTCAATTCGCAAAGTAAGCACTGCCTAAACATGATGGATAGACAGATAGATCGATCTTCTGGAGTAATATATTCTGAAATGAATTTTAACGTGACAGGATAAAGCAATCATTCATAATATTGCATTTAACTTTCGTTCTTTGTCTTAGCTTGTATCCAATTAGTTCGTATTTAAGCTATTAACTCATTTCTAATTAATTCCTACAGTGTTTCATATTTTTCGTACTGTCTTTCGTGTAGAGCAAAGTTTTATTGTCGTAACGCGATAATGCCTTTCATACTACGGCAAATTAATTTCTGAAGAAAGAAATCGGAATCCGGAAATACGTAGGAGAGGAAACCGTTCCAAGACGAATATTGCGTTGTAATTAATTAGTTGATCGCCGGCAAGCATCGCTTTCGTCTCGTTTAACGGATACGTAATTTGAGGCAGAAGATATCCTAACGGCGAGATGGGAAGTGAACAAGACGAAGGAAGGAAGGAGGTTGCGGAGGAGGACGAGAAGGAGAACGAGGGGGAGATCGGGACAAGAGAGAAGGAGGACGGGCATAATGGTGGTCACATGCCCGCGGGCGCCTCGCGGAGGAGATGAGTAAGAAGGAGGCGGGAGAGACTGCGCGCTCCGGTCCAGAGAGAGAGGAAAATAATGCGATGTTTTTGTATCATACGATATACAGACTCTCTGCCGGCATGGCGGACCGGTATATGCCTGGAGCATTCAGCGGGATGTAACGAGAAGAGTCCGAGTATTGCCCGTGGGTCCACATATTTTAGGGTGAAGCCTTCTCCTTCCCTCCCTCTCCTCCAGCTCTGCTCTTCTTCGCCCTCTGGTTTGAACCTACGTGTCTCTGAAACGGGTCGTGCTATGCCGAAGGCGAGAGTTTCGCGCTCCTCCACCTATCCGTCCAGCTCTTATTCACTTCCCTCTCTCCCTTCTTCCCTTTCTCTTTCTTCGCCCGAGCTGGCTTGCTTTTCGTTGTCTTCCATATCTTTTATTCTGCTGTATAGATGATAGTTTTTACAAATTGCTGCGTAGCGCGATTCTGCAACTGCATCTAAAGTATACATCTTGAGTCAAGAGAGATGCTCTCTCTATCATGATTCTCTCTATCCTGTGACAAGCTTTATCAGATTTGTCTCACAACTAGCACAAAAGGAAGAGAGAAAAATCCATTCTTTATTAATGTTTTCCAGTTTTAATATTGAATATCTTGATATACGCTGAGTTTTAACTGATGAAATTTTTGTTAATATATAATTGAGATAAAGTTTAATTGAGAAGTAAGATTTTTCTCTCTATTTATTTGCGTTTACTCGAGGGAAATAGTAATATTTTTAAAAATGAGAAAAATCTCAATTGGTACTGTTACAAGCGAGAGGACTTTGCGATCGATAAGTTTAAACTACTTTAAACGCAATAACTTTGCTTTTTGTTCGAATCAATTTCCGTAAACCTCTTACGCGTGACCCGCCAATCAGTTCAGACTCCAAGTGGGTTTCTCTCCTTCCCTTTTGTCCTCATGGCCCATGCATCGTTCTGCATGCGCAAAGTACACGTACACGACGGCCGTAGGTTGTGCTCTAAAGTGGGGGAGGTAGCCTGAGTGGTCTTTCTCTTCGATGGTTACGTGACCTCTGGTGGGTGTATGTTTAACCTTTTCGATGGCAGTCGGCAGAGAGGAGAATTTAGCCGGCGGCCTCCCCTATTCTTCCCCACCGCTCCGCCACGACCCTCCCCGAGTCGACGATCACCCACGCAAGCGAATGTAAATTACCGGAGGCTGTGAATCATTTTTAGAAGATCCCAGACGACCCCTGCGGTCTTTCTCTCCTTCGACATAGCTCACCTTTCATTTCTCCTTCCACCTCCGGCCGCGTTCTCTTTCTCTACCCTTTCTTTTCTTCCGCTATCCACCTTCTCTCGTTCATCCGTTCTTCCCGTTTCTCCGATCTCGTTCTACTTTCCTCTCTTTCCTCTACTTCGACTATCGCATTGTTCATCCTCGTTTATCCTGCGCAAACTTATATAAGGCAGAGAATGCTCCTTGAGAAAGGCAAGCAGTTCGCGTAAATGGCCGTGGGATGTGCTTCGGGCCTCGACTCCCACCTAGGCGCAATCGGGCTTCGCCAACAATGCCTATTAAACATCTCAAGTGGACCTTTCTGCCTCTATGAGTCCATGGAATACGCGGCCTGCGTGGGGAACTGATGTTCTTGGTCGACCGCGACCTTGCCATCGAATGCACTCATCATTAATAATACGTTTGTGTGAGCTTTTAGATTTAAAACAAATTTGAAATATTGTCTCAATGTGTTCTGTTCTATTTGCATGCAACTTCATTAAAGTTGCTTTCTACTACGAGAATATATATTATTTATCTGATTATATGATTTATTTGATTACCGAATTATTTTGTAGATACACAATTTCAGTAAATTTTATAGCAGAAATTGTAAAGTAATTGTAATTAAATGTTCAACGAAGCATAATTGGCTCTCCCAAGGGAATTATTTTATAGAATTAACTATATAATAGAATGTTATAGTATGTTTTTAATAAATACGCATCACTGAGTTTTCATTGATCTTGCAATGAAAATTATTTCAATATTATTTCAATATTATGTGTGCTGGTTGAATTGTAAAATTTTAAGGACATACAATAAATATATTAATATGTCACTGTTTTATTGTTGCACGCGTTTAATTACTTGGACATTATTCATTGAACAAAATGTTTGATAAATCTATTTAAATTAGCAATTTAAGGATGTGAATTTTTACAAAAGATTTAATAAATATGAACATTTGAAAGTATGCGAGAAAATTCATCCACACACGCACACACACATACACACATACAATATTTTAATTTTGATTTGCTTCTTTTCACCATTCTTGGAGACTTAATTAACATACTAGATAAAGATTTATCTAGTGTATAAATTAAACGGTACTATATTTCAATATAGTACCGTTGGTACCGTTGATGAAGATTTTCGTTAAAACATGACTCCACTTGAAAGATTGTATAGGGGAAACGATGTTTATATGCGCTCGCGACTACAATTTAATAAAGAAATATTCTTTACGAGTGTGGAAATTATAGTGTATTAATACAACATTGCTTTATCATCACCGTGGGCTATATTTCAATTCATTCGGACGGCTTTAACGAGGAGGTTTAACCGCAATTAATCTCAGGCTCTCGTCTAATAATTCTCCTATAACCACTCCATTAAGTGCCATTGCTGGCCCACCGCGCTCCCTTATACCGTAGCGGTTTTATGCCCTCAACACTTTTGCGCACCTTTCGTTAATAAGATTTACATGCGAGCGTCAAACTTATGCTTTTTCCTGGGTGCGTAGCATTCCGTGCAGTAAAAGTCAGCGCACGCTCTTCGCGCACAGCAATCAAACGCCAAAAGAAAAGTGTTCAGTAATCTAAGCTGTACTCGCGCTGCCCGCGAGCGTCGCAGTCAGTAAAGCCTTCCGATGCTGATATTTTTTTGTTTTTTCTTCTATTCTAATTTAACGCGAGCTGATGATGTCGATGATTCGTACCATTATCGCGCCGTACGGCCGAAAACGTGCTATTAACCAATGAAAGGTAATCATGCCGCAAGTTCATGAAGGTACAAAAATTATCGACATTGAGTGACGCGGTACTCTCTACCGCTTTTGATTAAGTAACGTCTGAATTAATCTTACTTAGTGCTAAATTATGCGTGATGAAAGATCAGATTTTCTCCTGTAATGTGAATTGCGAAAGAAATGAAATATAGTTCAGCTTATAAGCCGATGATTTTCCTCGTCGAGAGAGCGCGCGCTTATAGATTCAAATTGGAATTAAATTAATATTACGTCTTAATTTTGCGTACGACCGTATCAATTATGATGTATCTCTGGAATTATTTATATCGACATAAAATATCGAGAACTGCATCCACGTGTTCGTATATCGTTGAATCGTTTTGCTTTCCTCTTTCGTCCATCGGCGAAGTTCGCTCGTAGGCAACGAGTCCCGCGGCGACTCGTGAGGATCGTGGAGATCGAGCGAGACGGCGATACGAAGAAGGTGCTGGTCCATGTTGGCTCGCGGGGGCGTTCGACCGCTTCGAAGCACACGTCCGCGCGCACGGTCGCACACGACGGAGGAGAGACACACACGGATTATCGGGCAAAAGAGAAAGAGCGAGAAAGAGAAACAGAGAGGAAGAAAGGAGTGGCGGGGGCGGGGGAGGGGGAGGGGGGAGGAATGGGATAAGATGGAACGAAGGTGAGTACATGGTATACTGCGGAGATATACGAAGCAACGGAACGTCGAAGGTGAAAAAGAGTGAGAAGGAGAGCGCTGGAAGCGTTGCTGAAAAGAACGAATAGATCACCGCTCTCTCTTTGTCTCTTTGTCTC